GACGAATTACCGAACAGAGACACTTTTGAATCTGAGCATCTCAATCAAACTGATTCGGTTCAGCACCTTCATATTAGGCACTGACGGGTGGAATTTTACCAGGAACGCTTCATGTTTTGAAGTATACACGTGTTTCGGTGCTGACATAACACATTACTCAGCATTACAGCTAAAGTTACAGCTCCTTTAACATTTCAACAACCCTATTGAGCCAGTGAAGAGGTGAAAGTGTGTCAGCTGCATCCGAGCCCTGCCTATGATGAGAAATAGGGTGTTGACTTGTTGTTTCAGTTTCTGTACAGTGAGATAAAAGAGCATCTTGTTAAGCAGGGTTACTGAATGTGTGACAGGATTCTTACCTGCAATCAACTCAATGGGCCATTGTGCATGTACATGTCTAAAATGTCTCTAGTTTATCTGATTTGAAATACATACCATCCCAATTAGATAAACACAGAACTGAAGATAAAAACATTAGAAACTGGATCAACAAAATATCACATCAATAAAATTATCATGCCTGTTGCAACGATCCACAATGCAACACAGACGTAGGTTTTGTAGGTGTGTGTGAGATTATTCCTTTGATAAATTTGGATCGAGGTAGAGGAAACACAAGACAATATGTTTGTCTTGACTTGCTGTAACTACACTTTCCATACTGGCCAACTTTGGGGTGATTAATTATTAAGGGTAGGGAATGAGGACACACACTCATCATTATCGCACGCCTCTCAGCACACACCCACATCGATATCCTTACAGTTTCAAGATAACATCGGAAACACATAAATCTTCTCACAATATAATCTGTCCAGTGTTCACATGAGATGCTGACATAGAGGGACTGAATACAACGAGTGCTAAAAAGCACACAGGTAAGACCGTAAATTGTATATTAATCTTTTGTATTATTTACACTGTGTTAATTAATATTGATCCATATATATTGAATTGTTTTCATTTGTTTGAATGTATAATTGCTGTTTTTGTTTTCTTATTAGATTTCTCTATTCAAACTAAGAGGTTACATATTTTCAGATTATGTGAATTATTGATTTCAAATGTAAAGGGAGGCATATGAGATTAGGCTATCCTTTTATTGGTGAGGATTATTTTGAAATGTAGGAGAAACAAGTTATCCTATTTTACTAAATAGCATTCTCGATGCCACCCTAAAACTTAACAAGCATTGTACAAGGATTTATAAATCATACCATGAAAATTCAAAATAAAGGTTTGCTTCAATAAAAGTAAACATGAATTATACAAAAAACACTGAAGATTGGTATATTCTTAACATTTTATCCTTTTCTTTTTGTACCGATTTCACTTCCTCTTCCTTCCTCAGGTGTTTTCACTTGCCACTTATTGCCTAGATACACCAGATTCACCTCTCTGTGGTTGGCCACATTATTTTAATTGTTGTGGCGACCCATAGATCAAAACTAAACACAGTGGGAGAGACATCACCTTATTGTTTTCAGTTGTGTTTTGGTGTGGGGAAAGAAGTGGAAAAAAAATAAAACAGGAAAATAGGAAAGTTTTGAGAGGTGAAAAGGTGAAGAGGACGTAACCATTCAGATTTCTTCGTCATCAGACTTCATCATCCTTGTCCTCCAACATGGCCAGCAGACAAACAGTCGTGTTCCTCGTGGCAGTGGTGATCTCCCTGTCAGACTTCATTCATAGCTTCCAACCCCTCTTCTCACCTGATGGTAATTCAAGCACTCACCGTGACATCACACTGAGGGCTGTCCTCAGAAAGACAGCTGAGGTCTGCCGAGTGATGGCTGCTTCGGAGGGACGGGACTTCCGCCTGACTGTGAGTTGAAAAGCTGCGCTAAAAGAGAAAATGTGACAACTGTGGTTCAAAAATCAGTATGAAGTATTATATGATTATTTTTATTATTATTATAGTGTGACATTAAGACAATTTGTCCTCTTATACTTGTGTGGTTAGGGTCAGCCCTTTGGACATTACAATGGCAAATTGTAAATAAGTAGATTCATTCATAACTAAGTGTGACATTGCATCAGTTTTAGCACTTGGAGAAACTGACAATAGTATGACAGACATTCCTGGAGGTATTTGGTATTCTACTGTAATTATTGTTTTAGGAAAGCTTTTCAAATATGTACTGCTGCTAAAGGAAGATGAAGGTACACATTTCTACCACTAATGAACTTAAGAGTTATTCAGTGCGAAACTACATGAGGAAGGCACGTGTGAGCCGTAGATTTTAAAACATGCAGTCAGTCTTTTGTTATGTCTTTGTCTCCAGATTGATGACAGCCTGTCAACTGATAAGGTGCAAAGGGCCTGTTCTACGACAGGTACCTTCACCTCTCTCCTCTCAACTGTCCTTTTCCAAACGTCCATCGCCAATATGTACTTCAGCAACGCAAAAGTGGACGTGGTTTTTGCGCTGAGTGAGAAGCATCATTTTGATGATGAGACCTTTCAAGGCGGACGGGATGTCATCACAGCAGGTACACATCAACAATGCTTTCCTACTCAGAACATTCATGAAACAAAAAAAAATTCAATATTATTTGTTAGGAACATTGTTTTCCAAAGATGCTATACTGTATTTATGGAGCTTTAAATGCAGTGGTCTCATTGCTGTAGATATGGTACAAGCTTGTTAGTTAAAGAAATTATTTTTGAAAGAAAACCATTTTTACAGTCACATTAAGGCACACTAATCTTAAATCAATTAACTTTTACTGTTGGTTAACACAAGTAGGCAGCCATGCCCTTCACATTTCCATGACTTCTGAGTACTTTTCTACGAATTAAAAATGAAGTTCAGTGCAGGGGAATAGGAAAGTCTATACCATTCAAACGGCAAAAACTGCAACAAACTGTTTGGTCGGAGAGGTGATGAAAGGTTTGAACAATGAGGTTTGAACACTTTTGAATCATCAATCGGAATTTACATCCTCGACTGAGTACCATGAAAAGCGAATGTTGAGTGAAGGGAGATGTTTTTTTTGACTGAGTAACTATCTTTCTATTATGTTTCCAAGGTGTGGCTGCTGTGAAGGCTAGTGTGAAGCAGGAGAGCTTCGTCGCAGGGAGGTGGAATCTTGGACAAGTCTTTCACACCCTACAGGTTACAATGATGATCATTGTTCAGATTGTTGTGGGGGTAGCTGTTATCTTTTGGTGAAAGATATGACCTTAAAGCAATAGTGGTGTTTAATATGATTAATGTCATATTGCAGGACTTTTACAGCCACAGTAACTGGGTGGAGCTGGGGAACAAAAGTCCTTACAGCACTCTGATCAGCCCAGATCAACCTCTTGAAAACCTGGCAGGTAAAATACTTTCATATATTTGGTTTTATACTTCACTGAGAAATCACACTAGACACCTTGTCAGTTAACATACACCCACCCTGCCATGGCATGCATGTGCATACGAAACCACTCATGGAAATAAGTACAGTGCATTGTTACTCAATGAGATATTGAGTAACAATGTACTCAGCACACAAGCATACAGTTTAGTTCCCGTATTTGATTTGTGTTTCCTTTTAACTTCTCAAACCAAGAACATTAATAATCAATTAAGGGGAACTTCTACGTTATCAACACACATAATATACATTTCTCTCCAATGTAAGGTAGTGCAATGTGTCAAATAATTTATGTGTAAAACAAATAAATTAGAAAAAGAACCTGACCAGTTTTGTATTATTTATTTGTGTTACATTTTCTGTAGGCCTAAGTGTTCCCACCTGTAGAAACTGTACTGGAGGAACATGTGAGAACAACCTTCTTCCTGACCTGCTGCAGCAAGGGCTTCTCACCTCAGGCTACTTCAACCTCTTCTCTCCAGCAAAACCTACAGGTGAATTTAAGAAACAATTTAACTTTTGTAGTCAAGTATTTTAGGAACATAAGTATCATCACAAACATAATATATCTGATCAAGGCAAATGCAGCCACGGTGGATCATTTGACCGGACAAGCAGAAAAGACCCAGTGGGGGGCATCAATAAGGACGACCTTGGGTCCAGTCATGGCTCACTTCACCCAAAAGCAGCTGATTTGGCTGTGAATGCCACTATGGAGCTACTAGAGGACGTCAGAGTAGCAGTGGGAGACAAGAACTTCCTGCGGTATGGGCCACCAACACCTTAACCACTTGGAAGTTATATTATAATAATGTTTTCAATGAAATAAAGTCACTGATAAAGTGTTGAAACAGCAGATTTATGTATCTTATTCACCTGGAAAGCTTGCATATTTAGAACAAATATAACTCAGCTTTTACCAGAACTGCTAGATGTCTTTTGTCATCACTTACTGGGCTGTCCCTAAATACTTATATTCTCAAATGGTAATCATTAATGACTAACAGATACATTACCGGTGATCAACTGTACTTTTTTTCTTTCCCTTCTGTTCCTGCAGATTAATGGGCCTCTCCCAGTCCTCAGTGCTGTGTTTTGTCATTGACACCACAGGCAGTATGAGCGATGACATAGCCGAAGCTAAGAGGGTTTCCTTCGCCATCATTGACAGTAAGAGGGGAACCCAGCAGGAGCCCTCCGCTTACATACTGGTGCCTTTCAATGACCCAGGTGCAAACATGTTTTTATTTTTATGAGAGAAGATAAAAAATATATATAGAGGCAGAATAACCTGCCTCTTAGTGTCTTACTAAAAGCATCAACAAGATTTCCTGTAAAACTGCAAACTGTGTTGAATGTATGATTAAGTGGTAATGTTCATTTCCCATACCTAGGGTTTGGACCTGTGACAATGACAACCAATGCAGATTTCTTCAAAGACAGCATCAACAAACTGTCTGCAAGTGGAGGAGGAGACATCCCAGAGTTATGCTTGTCTGGACTGCAGGTGAAGTGTTTCCCACTGTTATGCAATAATTCCATATTTCTTCATTTAGAAAACACAATTTTGTAAAGCAACAAAGCGATATAATGTCAGTCGCTAAATGATCAAATAAAATCATTTTCCAGTCATTCTTAGTGTTAAATAAACAGATGCAAAATTAACTTCTAATTTAAATCAAAGTATTTTTCCTGTTCCGTGTACAATTGGCAGCTTGCCCTGACTGCTGCTCCACCCTCATCTGAGATCTTTGTCTTCACTGACGCTCCAGCTAAGGATGCTCATCTGAAAAGCACCATCACTGCTATTATAGAGAGCACCAAGTCAGTGGTAAGTATTGACTTTTTCCTTTCCATTCATTTTTAATGCCTATTCATTACATACAGATTTACACAAAAACGTTAACATTCGAGGACATGTTTCCAGTTCTAAGATAAGCATTTTTATTTTATCCTTATAGGTAACTTTTATGTTAACCGATGTCCTGACGAGTCGACGGCGCCGCAGAAACACTCAGCGGGTGTCTCCTCGTAAAATGACCCAATTAGATGCCCAGCTGTACCGTGACCTTGCCCGTGCCTCTGGAGGTCAGGCCATTGAGGTGACCAAGTCAGACCTCACTCTAGCTACAAGTGTAATAGAGGATTCATTAGCCAATGCTGTGGTAAGACATTGAACAAGAAAAATCCTACCTAACTCAAAGAAGACGGTACTGTACAGTGTGTATTTAATGTCATGTTGTGTTCCCTCTTCTTTCAGGTGACAGTTTTTCAGGTAGTGAGGAATCCTGGAAGGCCTGATAACTTTACGTTTATTGTTGATGGGTCACTTAGGAACCTGACTGCCTACATCACAGGAGCCTCATCTCTCACTTTCGATTTCACGAGCCCCACAGGTTTTGTTAAATTCCCTTCCAATAAAGCCTTCTTTTGATTGCCTTCTAGAAAGCATTTTTTTTAACATTTTTCTTTCTCCCCTAGGTGTATCTCAGAGTTCCAGTCAGTCCAGCGGTCCTTTGGCAACCATAACCACAGCCGGAAACCTACGTCGTTTAAGCCTTAACACTGACAATCAAACAGGATCATGGGAAATCAGTGTTAACTCTAAAAATCCTTACTCTGTTAAGGTCATAAGTCAGTATCACCAAAGACAGTGGGAATTCAATGAAAGGACATTTGAAAATGTGTTTTAATCATCCAATTCGCACATCTCTTTTGTCAATCTGATCTATTTTGTGCGTTTGTTCATCAGGTCAAAGCTCAGTGAACTTCATTTATAACCTTGTGGAAGCTCATGAGAGAGCCCATGGGGATTTCAGCCTAAAGGAGGGGCGTCCTCTTTCAGGTCAGACCGCTTTCACAATAATTGTACATTTTATTTTTTACAGTTTGAAAAATTCCCTCTCCTTTTCCGTAATTATCCTTGACAATCATCTGACTTGAAAATATTTGATTACACTCCCCAAATATGTAAAGAGTTCATCCCTCACAACTATTCTGCCTCTTCCAGCACCTTAACACATTCTGTTGTAATGTACATACAGTACAGTGCATACTTAGGTAAGGAGCTGTCACATAATTACTCACCCATTTTCCCTTTCTCTCTTGTCATGACTTTCAGGTGGTAATGCTAGCCTCATGATATCTGTGACAGGAAGTGACAAAGTAAAGGTCACAGAGGTCACTCTGTTTGACAGCTCCGGGCCAACAGAGGTCGACGGATCATTGCAGGCAGGTCATGCATTACACGTGATGACCATACCCAGTAGCTATATACTTAACTTTTCGACTTACCATTTTTCTACCAAAAAATAGATACAAAATTACTTTGCCTTTTAAGGTTGTAGTAGAGGTCACAATGCTCTCCAAAAGCTGACACCTTGAATACCATAATATCATTAATTGTGTACAAAAAAATTCTAGAAAAAACATGTTAGATCGTTTTGTAACAATATTTGATACAAAGAAACCATATCACAAGTAAACAGATCCAGAATTTGCAGCTGGAAGTAAACCGTAGCGTCTCATATTCTTACTTTGCCGTTCTGTCCTCCACAGTCTGTAGGGAGTGGTAACTTTCTGGTGACATTCATTGGAGTCCCAGCAGGCGAGTTTTTGGTTCGCATGAAGGGAGAGGATGGCAGCTCCACCTCCAGGTCCACAGCAACCAGCTTCCAGAGGCAGGCCTCCACTCAGATCAAGACCTCCAGCATCTCTGTTACTGTAAGCTCAATAACCTTCAGTTTTTAGGGGTCATAAGGGGAGATTATGTTAAATGTTATTGTTTCTGTCATGTTTTCTGTTCTTCTATCCATGTATGACTACCAAACATACAGACAAACACCCCTCAACAGATAATGCTATAGTAACAATACAAATAATGTGTGACTGCATTCCCCTCTTCCCTCCTTTCTACTGCCTCCTCACATTTTCAGGCCCAAGCCAGCAACACCAACATAGAACCAGGCTCTACCATCTCCGTTCCTTTCACAGTCTCCTCAACCACCAACGGAGTTGTCAACGACTCTGCAACAGGGATGTTCACAGTGCGAGCCAACAATGACCGCAGCTATACTTCAACCTCACCAAGCTCCATCACCATAGCATCAGGTGATGAAGGCACAGCCAACGGCACCGTGACCTTAACGGCACCGGCCAGTGCTGCATCTGGAACAGACGTGACCCTTACCATTGAGGCCGAAAATGCAGCTGCCACTGACATCAACTACACTGTCCTCAGGTTTTCTGTGGTGGCCAAGGTAGGAGGAAAAATAAAGCAGGATAAGGTGGTGGTTTGGTGGTAAGCAGTACTGACCAGACTATGTTACATTTTCCATCCTGAATATACTGTATATATATGCTCAATAATTGTTAATGGTCAACTACATTAAGTTTGCTGTGTGCCAAAATATTATAAAAGGCATGATGCCTGGTAGCCATTGTGCATTGTGTATGTGTTGACTTTACTCCATTGTTCATTCATTTTCTTTGATTCATAGATTTAATGGTGTTAGTTTTGGTTAAAAAAGACAAGTGAATTTGTTAGGATTGCCATAACAATTTCTGATGTTAAAATGATGTTTTGATTTTCTTAATGGTTTATAAAATGCCAGTTTTGTTGCATTATTTTTACATCTCTCCCACTATTTGTTTCCCAGGTGACAGATATTACCCGTCCAGTGTGCCAGACAGTCAGTTCTTCCTCCAATTGTCCATCCTCTTCATCACTGTGTGCTTCCTCACAGTGGACATTCATTGCGAATCTCACGGATGGCATCAATGGAACCGGTATTGAGAGCATCACCATCCGCAAAGGGAACGGTACCCTCAATACCAGCACAGTGGCTGAGGCTGGAGGGGCCGACGTTACAGTCGCTACATACAGTGCCTCCTGCTGTTCACAGAATGTAGAGCTGGCTGCCGTGGACAACGTTGGAAATGTGGGGAAATGTGCAGGACAGGCTACACAAACGACAGTTGCCACTACACTTACAGCTATTACAGCTATCACAGCTGCAGTGAACACAACATCCACTGGAGGGCACACCTTGAGCATATCACACTGTCTCTGGATCAGTGTTGTGGTTTCTCTCCTATGGAAGTAAAAGGGATGAATTAAAAAAATACACTGTAATTATAGATCAATGATGTCCAATGGATTATGAAGGGAATCACATGATTTAAGCGTCCCTTCAAAGTATTGCTTTGATTTATTTCGATCAGGTGTGTTTGAATTACTATTGCTTGAAGTTTTCTTCCATTTAGAAAGAAATCATATTGCCTTTGTCTTTAATGAAGTTGTATTTATTTCTTGATTAAAAAAAATATAACAAATGTAATTTAGCTGCCCTGTGTCCAAGTCTACGCATTCATTTTGATGTCATTATACTTTACTTTGGAATTTCTATGTTAACATATATGAAACAAAAAACACTTTGTACTTTACTACATTATCTATCAACTATAGTTACGTTGCAGATTTAGATTTTATAAACAATCCATAACATGATTTAAAACACTTAAAATAAACACTAATTTGGCTAACATTTAATTAAAATCACAAATCCACAGAAATAATAAAAATACACCTGAAAACAAATATAGGTCAAAAAAAGACATCACTGGTGGATTTCTTGTTTAAATAGTGTGAGTGTAAAAAGTGTTCCTTTAAATGGTTTGATCATGTTGATTAAATATCACTGTTGGTAAAGAAAGCAAATGTAAGGCATCACCAGCCTCCATGCGGTTTTAAGATACTGTTAACTTGCAAGGTGCAAAGAAATGTACACAAGGGGTTGTGTGAAACATGCATGCTGAATATAAAGAAAAAATAACAATTTGCAATAGCTATTAAAGTTTATTGGTCTATTCCAGAAAAAGTTAAACCATAATTACAACAAAGAACCAACTGAACCTCAAAAGGAGAAACAATATATCAAATCAGAAAATAGTTAAAATGGAAGAATTAAGAGCGACTTCCAGCAGCTGAACATGAATGGCACACCTGGGGCATATTTAACAAAGCAGGATTAATGAAGAAAGCTGCATTAACCATAATCACAGCTCATCTCAAACACCACGAAAAGTACACTGAGCTGTTCCTGGTTTCCCTCGAAGCAGTATAGCTAACTCAGTGGTCCTGGTTGATGAGACAGGTCCCAGTTATCAGGCAACAGCAAAACAGCCTGGTCAAATGCAATGGGCGTCAAAGGGAGGGGACAAGTAGCAAAAAGCTTGGTCCTTTTATCCAAAGGCAAAATTAGAAACTATTTTAGATTTTCCTTCAAACAATACAGCAACCACAAATTCAAATTACAGCATGTTTTATACAAAAAAGAGAAACAACAGAAAAGCCAATTACCTCGCAATTACCATGGCAAGTAAATGTCAAAGCAGCCACGCAACAAAAATAAAAAAAATAAAAGCCTCATTTTGATTTAAACTTGTACAAAACATTTTTGCACTGCATCTGGAGAGTCAAAAGTGCACCACTACAATGAGGAATTGTGATACTCTGTTGAGAAAACGAAACTTGACAGAGGTCAGTATTCTCAATAGATTACAATACTTCATAGTTAAAGAAACATATTACTCCTAGATTAAAACACAGCCTTAAAACACAAACACTAAAGAATATCCTTCTCTGTCTAATCTATGAGCACATTCATGTCACATCAGTAATGCAACTTGGAACAGATTCAATGTAAGAAACCTACTATATCAGTCATCAACAACAGTATTTACAATACCTAATATGTAGCTCTTTTAAACAGAGCACAGTTTAACAGTTGGATATTAGCGTGCATTATTCTTAATAGCCCATGGTAGATCAAACATATCCCTGGATCTCTGTGTTCCTGACAAGAGTGATGGTCATACCAGAGTTGCAAGTATAATCTATACATTATAGAACAATAGGGCCAAAAATGTGTATGACATTTGTTTCCTCAAAAGGCAAAGACAAAAGCTACAGAGACAGATAAATAGCTACGGTTGTTTAGTTTTTAACAAAAGCAAGTGAGAAACTGTACATAATATTAACAATATTGTATGGCAAAACCACTGAGGACTCTCTCCTTGTACTGCTCTCTTCGAAGTCACTATGCTGTATTAAAGGAGTTTGGTCCAACAAACTCAACTAGACTAATATGCAACACATTTCTTCATTGTCAAATAAGGTGTCAAAAGACTGGAAAGTGCAAAATGCATTTGCGCTGTAGAGCTTAAAGAAATGTGTAAGAATATTGGGGGAAAAGGTATTTCTTAAAATATACTAAGAAGTTAGCCCTGATACTTGTGAGTCTGGTGATGTAGTCTGATATGAGTGGTTGGATCTGATTTTAGGTCAGCTACTGTATTATAGGGCTGCAGCTGAATTATTTTCTTGCTCAAATCTATCTAATTTGCGATAGAAAACAGGAAAAGAAATGCATTAAAATGTTGTGTTTCTATAGATGAAATATATGAGGTTTTGGTTTATTCACATGTTGGTGATGATTCAATAGTTGCATGCAGAGGCACTAAATTGAAAGAGTTTGTCTGCCTATATTCTCTGGTCATGCTTACATCTCACTCATATCAGCTTTTTCTATTATACAAAATTAGTACAGAGCTTCCAGAGTTGGCATTCACTTTTTTCCCCATACGGTTGCATGACCAAAATATACACTGTACCAATCCATTATTTTACAGCATATACATATACTTCACATAATATGTATGTTGTGAGCATTCCATGCAGCATGTAAAGACCCTTCCTTTGAGTGATTTCATTGTGCGGAAAAAAAATAGGGTTTAAAAGATAACTTGTTGTCCTTTTTTCCGATAGTAACGGCCCGTCCACACAGCAGCGTTAAAAAAATCTTGAGAATCTTGGAGGTGGGCGTGTCTGAAAGCTTGGGTTTTTTTTGCGAGCAACGCGACCAACAACCAATCACATGAATCTCCCACCCCCGACATACAAAGCAAAAAACCTCGGGGATTTTATGTATATATATATATAAACTCCCCAAACAGGCGAAAACCTACCAGTTTCACCCACTGTCTCTGCCACCTCCCTCCTTGCCTGGTTCCTCCGGTTTGTATCCCGGTAAATAGTTACTGGTCGTAAAGAACCGGGTGATTTGCTACCGTCATTTCTCGTTTGGAATATTTGAACATTGCTCAACTTTTGAATCCTGGAAATCCTGGAAATCTTCGCTTTGCTTCCCACAATGCAGTTCGGCGAAAAGCGAGGCAACGTGACGTCACCCCATTCAAAGTGAATGGGCAGAAGCATTGGAAGATTTTTTAACGCTGCTGTGTGGGCGGGCCGTTAAAATGTATGGAAAGGGTCTTAAAAAAGGTCTTAAAAGGTTTTACATTTGACTTCAGGATTCCTGCATACACTCTGGTGAGGCTCGATTTGTAATCTTGTTTATGCTATTGTGTGAGCACCAGGTTCAGACGATCATTTTGCCAACTTTAGACACCAGTCCTGGTTCATTTACCATTGAGAAGTGTTGCCTCTTGTGTTAAATTAAAGGGATTCCACACAGGTTGCCAAGCAATCTCACAGTAAGGATAATACACCAGGAAGCTACCGTTCAGAGCCAAGGAGTAGACCAGTACATACACAAGAAGTAAAAACCACAGCTTGTCCTATTTACACTTACTATCAATCTAAAACAGCTAAACGCAGAGTTCCTCTTACTCGACAGGTGTTGACTTTGGTCTGTTTTGACTATCTATCTATCTATCTATTGTTCGATCCCAATGTTCCACATTTCTATCATTCAATTCATTGATTCAAACCATGACCACCACATTATTTCATTCAGATGTCCTGGCATGGTAAACATGAGATAGAAGTCAGTTTCTCCCAATTGTCAGCACTTTGTGAAGTATTCCCCCCTCTCCATTTTCAGTATGACTAATGGGAACGTTGCTGCTGGCCAGTTGAGTTTAAAGAGGATACAAAAGAGAGGGATTTTGGAAAGTAAGACGGTATTTCCCATCTTTGCTTAGAAATCAAACAGACCAGACCCAAATGTGCACTGGTTATGCAGTTCAGCTGTTGATGGGGTTAAACGAAGCAGATATATGTTGATTAGATCAGAAAGGTGCTTAAAGGATTTTTTTCAAGGGTGTCAAACTCAATTTCATCACGGGCCACATTAGCATTATGGTTGCACTCGAAGGGCCGGTTGTAACTTTAAGACTATATAAATATTTAATATAAAATAATGTTGGATTGTTATCGGATAGGGTAATAACTTCATAATTAACTACGTCTGAAAGCAGAAGTCTAGGGCAAATAATTGCAAGTCTCTTCAGTGAGAATGTCACAAAATCTTTTAAAAAGAAAAGCCAAATTCTGAAGAAAAAAATTCACAAAATAAAAGTGAAATTTTGGGGGGGAAAGTGAAAAATAAGTCAAGTTCTGAGAAAAAGGCAAATTGTAAGATAAAAAGCATATTTTGAAAGAAAAAAAAGTCAAATTCGGAGAAAAAAAGTCAAATTTGAGATGCATTGTGGGACATGTAGTTTATGGGCAACGTGCTTCTGTAAATCAGCATGTAACCGTATAATAAATATATAAATAAATAAAAAATAATTATATTCTTTCAGAGCTGTTGTTGGCCACATTAAATGAAGTCATGGGCTGGATTTGGCCCCCGGGCCTTGAGTTTGACACCCCTGCTTTAGACAAACTAACTCTCTTCATTACATTCCCAGTCTTTGAGCTAAGCTAGGCTAAGCTAAGCGGCTAATAGCTGAAGCTTGAACTGAGAAATATGCCTATGATATCCATCTTATGTAACTATTACTTAAAGTAAGGTATTGAAATGTAGGCTCTGTTTTTGGTATTGGTAAAAAACTTACCGAGCCCTTAAGTGGATTTTTCCGAGTTGTCTTTTGCGTTTTGGTTGTCTATTAAGTCCATTTTAGCATTTAGGTTCATTACAAGATACTTAAGTTGGCTTAGCATCTACAGAGTAATACTTTTTGACAGTTTAAATATATTTAAAGCCAGTCTGCTCCAGGCGATGTGTTCTGGGTTGCAGAGCGTACGGATCAGTCGGGGCTTCAGAGGCTTTGTCAGCCGGGGAAATGAGAACTCATTAAGTTATCCAAACAAGTCCTCCGCAGAGCCTGTAACTGTCAGCTGGGATAAAGAACACACAGATAACCTTCGTCTGAACTGGCAGGCCTGAGATATCATCAGAAATATGCAAATCAGAGGTTTAACGCCTCTCCACAGCATCCGAAACATCCAGTGGAACATTCCTTTATAACAACAGGGGAGGGACATCAAATACCTTATTATCAGAGGGTGGAGATGAGAGATTTCTAAAGAATGTTTGTAGAAGGGCTGGGCAACTTGAACAAATCAAATATTATATTTCTGATCAGATACCATGATATATTAGCATATTGGTGCGTTCACTAAATGCTAACACAGTTATTTTGTGTAAGTTATGTGGTTAAAATGACTTAAGGCTAATAATAAAATAGCTTCAATCTGTTGGGAGAGTTCACAAAATGGCTTTGCTTCACTTTAAAGGGACTCCATTATGATGTTTAGTGTTTTATAGGTTTGTGTGCATGTAAATGGTCTGCTAAGGCTAACATCTCAAAGTTCCCAAGTTTCAAAGGAGATTCTCTAGCACACTCTTTGAGGAGCCTGGGACTTGAATTTCCAAACTGTATCTATTGTGCATATGACAATAAAGCACTTAGATGTTGGAATGTGTAAATTGAATTATAACAAAGCCTCTTACAGTGCAAGTTATATCCTCGTACAGCAGATGGTTCTGGAGCAGCGGGGGGTCCGCTCCAGATATTTATTACCCCGCGACATAAATGGCCTGAGCAGCTTAATCCCACATGGCGGGGGGGCTTTGGTTAAATAATGCCCCATCCCCAAGCATTATTAACGCTATGTGGGTAAGCCTGATAAAATGGCATGGTGATAAGCTGACGTGAAGCCCGGAGAACCGAAGTCTCAGCATTCCTGCGCGCTCCCTGAGAAAGTCATGTGATGGTGGTGCAGGGTTCACAGGATGGACATTAACCCGCCTCTCTCTCTCTCTCTCTCTCCCCCCCCCACAGGTCGGTGTCTGGTATGCAGCCATGTGAGGAAGAGTTTGTGTATCCCCGCTGAGGCTCCATCCAGCCTGATTTACATTATCTTCAGAGACAGGAAGTCTGCGGTCTCCCTCCACCTGATCTGTTGACTCCTTGTGTAACTTTCCCATGTAGCCCGAGCTGGACTCGTTGCCATGTGCACGGCAGGGACATCGCAGTCTCAATATAACATATGAAGCAGAGAGAGCAGGGGTGTGTGGTTCTTCTGGTGGCAGGTTCCATTCTCTAATTCATTTTCCACTGCAGAAATGACATCTCAGTGCGTTGGGGGAATCAGCTGATTGTTGTGATGCCACCATCTTCAAATGGACGCTCACTGAATCCTTAAAGTGCAAATTAACAACTAAACGTCTGCTTAAAGCAAATAAAAAAAAAATGTAAATAATTGTAGCTTTGCTTAAAAAAGGTCAGATTCGTGCTGAATGTCTCGTGAAAATATGCTAATATGATCATGATGAAAGACCTGTCTCCACATAGTGCTTTTTTATGAGCGACAACATTTTTGTGTACGTGTTTCCAATAACTAGAAGGCGCGTTCTGTTTCCCACGACCGCCTCAAGAGAAAGCGCTGCACCTAGCGTCCTTTTCTGAGCCATTTGTTTGCAGATGCTAATATCGCTAGAAGTTATATATTCTAAATATTTTTGCATTTACCAAATATTGCACTTACTGCGATTTTGAATGATACCTGCCAGCTCATTGGGAAAAGAGAGGCAATACAAAACCAGATTGACTTGGTTTCCAATTTCGTAAAACAAAAATGGGATTTTTAATTCATTTCAATTCATTACCATCAACCAGCAACTTCTGCTAATGGAAAACAAACGAAAAGTGAGTTGTATAGAATCGTACCATGCAGTGAAAATGCTTCAATGTGAGCTCTGGGCTTCAAATCTTTCTAACTTTCCGCCTCCTGAGATGAATCTGCATAAATCCCACATGTGCATCATCCTGCCGGCAGACTCTGGAAGGACTTCTGTGTCACTTTGACATTTTGTTTGACATGTTGTTTGACATCAGACTAAACAGACGTCAGCTGGAGTTTTGTTGTGGCCTCTCTCTCTCTCTCCTCAGGTGTAATCTAATGAAACGCTGAATCAGACCTTTGGCGTGTGGGGGAAGCAGAGAGGACTTGGAGAAGCTATGATTTTGTGCACAGAAACAATCCTCCTGTCTGTATTTTTAGGCGTTGGACTCGGGCTTCCCTCAATTTTGGTAAAGCTAAATTTGTATCTTTCCTCCTCGAGCTGAAAATACACGCTCCCATAAGAGAGAATGAGGCGGGGGAAAAGATGCTTTTCTGTTTCAAGATGTTATTTCTAGCTATGATTTTGTCTACTTTGTGTCTCAGGGTGTGTATAGTTGTGCCTGTTTTGGTTTTTTTAGAGGAAGGTTTTCTGTCCTCTTCTTTTGTGAATGTACTTTTTGCGATAAACACTTTACTTATTACGGACTGAACTCTTACATTGTTTGGCCATTTAAGTGTCAAATCGTCATATTTAAATCTTAAACGTTGCCAAAACCTGAATATCTAACCTTCGTTTCATTCTGGATTTAAGTAACAAGAAGTGTCCAAAGTATCTAGGGAATACTTTTTTAGCTATGATATTATTTCCTGTGTGTATAGTTGTACATATTTGCTCTGTAATGAACTTGTAGAAGCCTTTTGATTTGCACATTTTGTACAAAGAAGTTTCTTAACGGTCTTAATTTTATATCTTTGTCTTAACCCAGCTTGGGTAGTGTGAATAATCAAAGCATTTTTGTAGCAAATTATCAACAATCTCCATTTTCTTCTGTGTGTAAATATCAAATACACTGATATATTAAGCTATTACTGATACTCCATGTGTTACTTCCTGTTCTACAGCCCATAACTCGTCAATAAATATCTGGTTGAAAACTTATTTTCCGCAGTTTGGCCTCTTTTTCTTTCCCAGGGAATGAGTGGAATTCAGCGGCTGTGTCATTAAGCAGCCGTGTAATCACACAGGTTCCCAACGTGCCTGGAATAGTTTCCAAACGCAGGTTAAAGGAGTGGTTCGGTATTTACCGGAAACACCCGTCTCCTTCCTGCTGTCTGTGAGAAGATCCAGAGGGATGAACAGTCCACGCTCCGTCCTGATTATAATCCTCTATTTATAGAGATATCACACATCCTGGTTATTTGGTATGTGTAGAGCAAAAAGAAGTACTCAGATGTTGTACTTAATTAGAAATGAATACCAGTGTTGTGTTGCAGGTAAAAGTAACACATTCATATCTTTACCTAAGTATATAGCATCAAATATTAGCATAAAAATATACTCTGCATGTGCAATATATGGCTGATTTCAGAATACTGTATATTATATATTGTAATATAAGGATTTTTACATACAGTGGTTTAACATGTTATTGTTTAAGATATAGGTTTGGGCTGATTTCTACATTCTACAAATATTTATACTACATACACTGTAAAATATTACCATGATTTCACAATATCTAGCTGTAATATTTTACAATAAATTACGGTTTTACCACTTTACATTCTTTAAAGGTAGGGTAGGTAAGAATGGAGAAACCAGCTCGAGTGCGCTAGAATTTGAAAATACACAACCGAAAACAATCTTCAGACCCCAACCTCCAACACACACGAACGCGCACATGACCAATGAGGGCACGAGATAAGTTTGTGCACAGATGGAAGGCTGACAGGCAGGTAGGCCATCCAATTATTATTTTTCCCGGGCCGGCTCAGATGATTGGTCGTGCTTTTTACAGTACCACGGCTTCCACAGATGAAATATTTTTAATGTATTTATTGTCAAAGCATTTAATGTATTCATTGCTATCGGGATGTTAAGAGCATTCCATGGAATATAACAAAAAGTGTTTCTGAAGTGAATGACCTACCCCACCTTTAATGTTGTTCAGGTTTTGATATCAAATGAACATGACTGCAGACCCTCTCCGGGGAATGGCATGTTGAATCATCTCATAATTAATGTCAAATATCCGTAGTTGAGAGTAATTATAAGGACACTTTCAAAAAAGGCTTACCTGGGGAAGGAGCCTCTTTTTGTTTCCAAGTATTCACTAAGACCCTTCTGGACCTGTTCCAGCAGTTCGTTGCACTTTTTCAGTTTTTCAAGTAGCCTAGAATCTGGGCACACCTCAATCACCTAGAAATAAACACACACTTTAACATCTCTGTATAAAAACAAAAGCTTTCTCCTTTCATATGAAGTGCTGTGGAGGCTCTGACCTTTGGATTTTTAAAGGCACTTTTCATGACTGCTTTCCACGTTTGATCCATTTGCTGGTATCTCTTTCCTTCCACAGGCAGCTGCTGGGTGATATCATCCGAGCTGAAGATGGGCTCTAAGTAAAGCCAGGAGCGTTGGCATGTCAACCACTCCTCCAGCACGTCCTGCAGAAACCACAAGAGGGCAGTAGCACGACATAAGACACTGTATAATAAGTATACAATACTCAAGAAGACCATAGGTGTGTTTGTGTGTGTACCTGAGTCATTCTGATTTTGCCCTCCCAGGTGTTGATACGGGCCTCAAAGGACTTTTTGAAGGGAGAGAAGGACATGCTCTGCGTCATGACATTGTGGTCGTCCAGCAGCTGTGAGACTTCATCTGGGCTCTTCAGGATGTAGGTGCCTGTATCCTTGTAGGGCAACACGTCAAAGAATATTGTCGACCACTCGTTTTCCATCTTGTCCAGGGCCTGTGTGATTAGGTGTGAAACAAAGGCAGCAGCCACCACTTTAATGCAGATATCCACACACTGTTTGTGTTCAACAGGAAAGAGTAAGTGAGTTGCTTTAAACTAAAGAAACACGAGTCACTTCGCCTCTGTGTCACCATCCTTTTGGTGTTACATTTCAGTCAAGTGCTTTCAAGTGAAATGCATTTTAAAGCGTTGATCTTAAAGATTTTAATTTGAATATCAATCGGTTCTGTTACTATCCTTCACCTAATGAGGTAACACATTATAGGAGAGATACCTGCAGCGGTCAGACCCCCACACCCACACACCACAACACAGACTATATCACCCCTTGCTGCTAAATACCAACAAACTATGTGCAATATGTGCAATATATATAGATGCCGTTAATAACTGTAATATATACCTGGCTGCTAAATCCTAAGAACTGTTACAGGATGTGTATTTCTTTTAATTATGTAACTTTTTATTTTTTATTATATTTTTTATTATATCATAACTTAGTACTTAAAAAAAAAATGCATGTCACATATATTTAACATATGTAACATTAAGCTGTCTGTGGCTCTTTTTCCTGCTGTAACTACGCACATTTCCCCTCCGTGGGACTAATAAAGGGATTCTGATCCTGATTCTGATAATGCTGACTGATCCTATGGCCCACTGATGAAAGTATTGCAACAATGATAGATTTGCAGTATGAGCAACTGTAAGTCTGTGGCGAAAGTCCAGGAAGAAAAGGCTGTATTAAGTTACTGCTCATCAATCATTCTCTACTGCTGCAGCTTTACTTCAAAAAATGTATCTGATATTTATTATAAAGTAGTCACAGGAAACACCATTTGTTTTCTCTTTAACAGAGCCTGACATGGTCTGCTATCATTCATCAAAAATGTGTAATAATGAGGTAACGTACTTCTTTCACATTCGCTGTTCGCAGACTCACAGAATGATGGAAAAGAGCAAACTTCTGTCTGTTCTTATGGAAAAAAAATGTTTGTCTTTGTTCCTCTAGTATTCTGTGACCTGCAGTATTGAACAGGGGACAACTCCATTTCATCGCTGCTACAACCAGCTACTGCAGATACACTCTTTACAACATCAGGAGGATACGACCCCTCCTGACCCAGAAAGCAACGCAGCTTCTGGCCCAGGCTCTCGTCATCTCACGCCTAGACTACTGCAGCTCCCTCCTGGCTCCGCTCCCTTCACTGACTTCCAGTAACTGCTAGAATCCACTTCAAGACACTGGTACTTGCGTACCATGCTGTGAATGGATCTGGCCCTTCCTACATCCAGGACATGGTTAAACTGTACACCCCAGCACGTGCACTCCGCTCTGCATCAGCCAAACAGCTCGCTGCACCCGCACTGCGAGGGGGACCCAAGTTCCCATCAGCAAAAACACGTGGGTTTGCTATCCTGGCTCCAAAATGGTGGAATGAGCTCCCCGTTGAAATCAGGACAGCAGATAGCTTGCACATCTTCCGGCACAGACTAAAAACTCATCTCTTTCGACTCCACTTCGAGCGATATAATTACTAACAGAGCATTTATATACTAACAAAGCACTGGCTTATCTAAAGCCAGTTGAGTAGCACTTTAAATGTTTTAGCTCTATGAAACCTGATGTACTTATATGTTTTCTTCTTGTTTGTATCTTCTTGGTCGAACGCACTTATTGTAAGTTGCTTTGGATAAAAGCGTCAGCTAAATGCAATGTAATGTAATATAATGTAACTCATCAACCAGGACTAAAATCTTAAGGATTACCATGCAGTGAATACGACTTAGCTACTGAAATGCAGCTCCAAGGTGTACATCCTGTACAAGCACAACTTCATGAATCACTGTGTTATTAAGGTACCTGTTCAATGGTGTACTCTTTCCCTGCCACCTCGCCCACATGAGCTATGTCCTCTATGTGGTTCTGTAGGCCCAGCTCCAGGCATCGAGAAAGGGTGAGGTTGGCTTTGGGCTTGACCTTCATCTGAATGCGGTCTGAAAGAATCTCCCAGTGGCGGTTCTTCATCCCCGGGTTCCTCAGGCCCTGAATCAGAGGAATGTACGGCTGGAAGTCCACGATCTTCATGCAGATCGCCGATGCAACCATCTGGCAGCCTGGCGTTGCGTAAGGCCAATAAAGAAATCGTTGAGCATATTAACAACAATTACACTTCCCTTTGTCAAGTTTTTATGGTCATACGTGCGTTTCCTACCAGGAATGTCCTTGAAGTGTTTCACACATTTGTTCATGGTCTTGTGGACATCTGTAACATTGCGCTCCAGCTGCTCGGAGTCTATGGAAGACAGCGGGTCATTGAGCCAGCTCTCGTGCCAACGCATCCAATCAGAGGTGGTGGTCCACAGGTCCGTAAAAGGCTGGAAGTCCTTCACCAGCTTCTGCAGCCGATCGTACTGAAAAACACATTTACAGTGCATTGTCAGAAATACATATTATAATATCTATGTAGTATATTGTATCACTATTTGTTTAACAGTTCAAAACAAACGTGGATATTTTTTGTACTTACATTAGTGACAGGAATACCAAACAGACGCTCTCTGGTGTTGTAGGTTTGAGCCATTGTCTGACACTCCTTCAGTTGCTTGGTTGTACGCCTCACTTCGTTGGCCACCTCATGGGCATGATTGATGTCATCATGACACGCAAACCCAGCAACCAGCATCTATAAACACAGGGTAGTGGTCATTTAGAACAGCTCGTGGCTACCGTTAGAAAAATGCTCAACAGTTAGGGCTGCACAATTACTTGTAATATAATTGAAATCGCAATATGGACTAGAGCAATATTCAAGAGCCAGTAAGCTCCATATATATGAATAATTATGAATTAAGCACTATGGTCCTGCAGATATCCTAGCCAATAAACTGCATTATACAGAATTAATAAAAAAAAAGATTGTTTGGTACAAATCCGCTTGAATAAAATCACACAATTTTCATTTTAATATATCCTTTAATCATGATTAAACTCTGCAATTACAGTCAATATAATATATAAACTATTATACGTTTCTCTCCATCTCGGAAGCGATTCCCAAAATTGTAGCTAGAGTTTGCAAAGAAATGAGGCACATGCCTATGCTCGTACAGTGCAAAGGGCTTCGGACTATATTTATTTTAAATTATGATGCTTTTATTTAGTTGCTCCAGAAAACTGCATACCCTGGGAGACCACTTCTATAAAAATATGCTGAACGGTCTAGAACAGGGCTATTCAATTAGTTTGGAATGGGGGCCGGTTGATGAAAATGATCCAAAGCAAGGGGCCGGGAAAAAGATGGCTTGAAATACGAGCAATCATAATTAAGAGCTTCAGATACAGTAAATACTTCAACAGCATAGTGGATTGCATATATTGTGTTTAATTAAATGGCAAGTTCAGAACTCAGTAGGCCTACATGTGAAGCTAATTTAACCATCAACATCATTTCATTTGATTTAATTTAGGTGAAATGATCTAATCATTCACGCAGAGATGCAATACACTACAGTAGCTAGTAGGTGGGTTCGAAACCCGAGCCCCCAATGTCTGCCCCTCTATCTCAATTTAACACCCTCTCTGGAATAAAGGTACAGAATATAAGTAGATCACTTTTTAACATTATACTCAAAGGGCCAGTAAATATCACCCCGAGGCAGGATTTGAATAGCCCTGTGCTAAAAAAACAAATAAGAACCTGAAAATGTTCCCTTTCAAGGACATAATGGACCATTGTCTGTGGTTAAACATAAGCTTTTCTGTTATGTTTTACCTTCAGTTGGACAGTGTCAGTGTGTTGCTATGGTACCTTAGAATGTTCAGAGTACCATAGCAACAGTTGTCCCTTTATTTTTTTAGAAGGTAATAAACGTCACACACATTGTGTAGTCAAAGATAGAAGTTGTTCATCTCTATGTTTTTCACAACTTCTTCATCACTATGTTTATTAGTCAACATCATACATCTGTCCTGGGTGTTGTCACATCTAATTCTGAAACTTTGCGCCTCTGTTCAGTTTTTTTTTCTCACCACTGTGGTATTTTTACAATCTTTACATCTCTCTGCACAGATATAAAATGCTACATTTGACTGGAGGTTACTTAAGCAGCTAGAGAAGAGATTCAATTCTATTTGATTAGATTAGATTATTAGATGAACTTGTCATAGCAGTAGAAGCACAGATGTCACTGCACATAAACAATGGTTCTGTTACAGTGTCCCAGTGAAGCAGCATGTCTAACAGTAGAGCAGCCAGACAACGTAATGAAATGCAGCTACAGTGATTTGTGTTTTTTTACACATGGGAATGAAAGGTCTATGGTTTTAGGTTAGATCTTGCCTTGGCTTGTTTTCTTACAAGTGGAATGTGGTTAAATAATGCCTCTCAAAAGCTGCTTAAAAGATTGTTGATTGAAACAAAAACAAAAAACCTTTTCTCGTAAATTATACATGAAAAAAACATCAACAGCAGAGCCCAAATGTGATTTGTATTAACCATTCTTGATGATAAAGCATTTCCTATAGTTACATCAAACGTACTCAACAGTCTACAAGCATGTGTACAAATATACATATCATAGTAAATGGGACAAATGTGTAAATCCACACTTATACATTGTTTCCTGAGAAAATAAAATGTTGCGCAAATGAATTAGGGTCGACGCTACTTCATCCGTCTTTATAAAGGCACACACACACACACACACACACACACACACACACACACACACACACACACACACACACACACACACACACACACACACACACACACACACACACTCTCTCTCTCTCTCT